TTTTTTTTATGGATGGGCGCTTTTTATTTAACTTCTTTTGGACTGATGCATGCAACACCCGCTGAGTGGCATTAAACAGCTTGAAAGATCAAAGACAATTTTTAATATAACTCTGACTGGATTCGTCTGAAATAAGAAAGTCATATACTCCTAGACTTGACGGTGAGTAATTTATGGGCTAATTTTCATTTTTGGGTGAACTAACCCTTTAAGACTGGTTTTGTGCTCCAGGGTCACATATAGTTAGTTCTTGAGAATTGGTTACAAAATCTAAAGTGTGACCAAATAATTCATATTTTAAACTGAGGAGTTAGTTTTGACTCCTCAATTTAACTCACATGTGTAATTTGCAGTATGTTTTTAGTATGTTTTAGAGAGTAATCTCTCATATATGCAAATGTCAAGGACATTTTGATTCTCTATTTCATGACTCCTTTAAACACACATCAGACTCTTTGGCAACCGGCTAATTTTCACCTAAGAAAACCGATCGTATCTTCATTGATGTTTTATGAGAATCGTTTACTCTCACTTACAATAAAACCCCAAATCCCTGTACTTTATCCCGGTATTTGCCAGAGCATCAGCATTTTTCAGACGTTTCATCTGCGACATGCAATGCTTATTTTTATTTTTATGTTCTTTTTGAGAATCACTTACTCTTACTTGGAACAAAACAGATCAACATTTAAATTTCTAAATAGAAAAAAACGACTAACATTTAAATGTATTCAATAAACAAAACCAATCAATATTTAAACCTCTCAGTTGCTTTGAAATTCAACGTTTGAATGTACGCTCGTTATGCACAAAAACCTGTTCTAGACCTAAAGCGCTATAGACATAACATTACGGCTTTCTGAAAAAGCTGCTTTAAAACCATGCTTAGTGTGAAAAGTGCTATATGAATAAATTAGACTCCTCAAAAATTTTACATAGTATGAGCAAAAGTATATTATGCTTACCTTAGTTTACCTTAAAACAGTTTGTAATCAATGACATATTATTGGACTTTTGACACTTTTTAAAATAATTTCACAGACTTTTAGAATCATTAAACTCATCATCCCACAAAACAAACGTGTATCTATCACACATTCTGACAGGACCGCAGGACTGAAGCGGAGTCATGACCGTGAGTTGCGCTCTGTTGTAATGGGCGTTCAGGCTGTCTCCTGACTGTGACTGTGTTTGCACCAGTTACCCATGCAGCAATATTATTCACCGTGTGTTCCTGGCCTGTATTCTCTCTGCTAAATTAAGCTCAACTTTGCAACCAGGCAACGGCCCAATGCTTGGGATCCATGGTGACTTCATAACTATTATATATCTTACACATGACGCTAGCACCGGATGTGACATCGCCTTTACAACTCCAAGAAAAGCCCAGATCCTGGAATTAGACGCTGCCATCCTACAGTGAAAGCGCTATATTTACATTTGAATACACTTGCTAATTGAGTCATCAGAGGCACAATACCATACACAACCTGCCCACATTCCATTGCATCAGAGTTACATACTCCAGATCTGCTTTCAAAATCTTCTATTCTGTTTTAACCTTTCAAGAAGGAAATTAAACTGACCTTCTTAAGTTTCCTAATATACATTCCCTTTCCCATTGTCAACGATCGAGCTGTGCATGTTATTTCAAAAAGCATGAAAAAAAGTTATATATTTTGACAAAATTTACAAAATAGCAAACAAGAAATGTGTGATGTTTTGTCAGCTGAACAGATGTAATACAGTACTCTTCTAATATAGCACCAATTCACCGAGCTGCTTCCAATACAAATCCCTGGAAAATCAATCACTGGAAAGGGCTGAGTTGCTGGGTTCCTCCTATGGCAGACATTGTTTCAAACCCAATAGCTAATCGATTTGTGTTCATTCCCAGTTCTGGCCACATGAGGATACAATCTGTTTAAGGAAAGAGCTGAATGGGTCAAAAATAATGCATGAAGCAATTAGTATCTTGTTTGGTTTCAATTTACCCAACTTGAAGAATGAAGAAAATATAGTGTTTATAATGCATATGAGGTAAGCCAATCGTCCTTTCTTAAAAGCGGGCCAATAAATCCATGTTCTTGTAATTCGGTTGAGTTTGTTGTGACAGCTGTCACATGTTTCTGAAGTGCATCAGAAGAGGAGCACAGCTCACACTGGATCACACTTTAGATGTGGAGGCGTTTGAAGATCAGACCTCATGTTGTTCCTGGTGTGGGTTATGCAGGGACAGACGGAGGCCACCAGCTCTTTGTCTCACATGTTGCTCTGTTCTAAAGAGCAGACCTGGGGTCATCCGAGAGATTTGATGAATTATTGAAAGCGAGTCTAGAATAAAATTGCTTTCATGTCTAAGCCTTTATTTATATATTTACTATAGTAGGTACGGCATTTTGAAAATGGCTCGATATTTGGCAGCCTTAGAAAAGAAGAACAAATTTGGGAAATTGTGGTGCAATATAGCTGAAGTAATCAACACTGTATGAGATATTCCCTTGAATGCCATCTTTGGAATTCAAAGGTTTTGAGAAGCGTTTAGCATTATGGAATTATGAATATCATAAAAGCACATTATTGCTTGTTGAACGATTACATAATTTGACATGCATATATTTCATATGCATATGAAAGCCCCGCCCAACACGAAATACAAAGCACTGAGACGGAGTGAACTAAAGCGATGCGTATCTGTTCAACATGACAACGCCGATGCTTTTCACTCTCAACAAATGACCTACTGGCCTGTATATACTTTATACAGCGCGATGAGATCAACATTAATATTGCTTCGATATTAAAGCATCCATGGAGATTGTATTTTCCCTGATTGCAGCATATTCCTCCGGCGCGAGCACTGAGTGTGCGTGGGAATCTCTCCCGCACGCGCCGCCCCCTTTATAAATGATTCGTAAAGGATCTCCAGTATCACACACGTACAGCACTCTGAGACTTCAGAGAACTCAGGAGCAGATGCTCATCTCCGTCTCCACTTCATCTTTTTCACTCTTTTCTATTGCATTTTGATACAAACCGACACGTATTTCTTCGTCGATGAGGCTTTCGTATAGTAAGCGCGCTCGCACGAGCAAGTTCCGTTCGCTTCATTCCGTCAAATCAGGGAATTTCAAGCACAGATAATAATAAAGCTCGTGATATCCCCCGATGTGGGAGTGCTTTAGACATGAAGATCCTCGGCGATGTTTAGACGCGAGATGGGACGCAGGGTTTCCCTGTAACATGCGCGCATCGCGGGATCCCCACTGACACTCACACTCGCGCTGCTGAACAGAGACTGTCACAGACACTTTGGAGATTGCATGAAAATGGTCCAGAACGTGATTTTGGTGTTTTTCCGCAGGAGACTGAGTCAGAGACCAGCGGTGGAGGAGCTGGAGAGCCGGAACATCCTCAAACGTGAGTATCGCACCTGTCAGATCAGAGATTACGCGTCTGGGATGCTGGAGTGAGCCTTTTTTTCCCCCTGTGGAAATAATGTTTATTACCTGCCTGTTGACAAATAACATAACCATTTTGCTTGAAATTCATATATACTACACTCTAAAAAATGCTGGGTTAAATACAACCCAGTGCTGGGTAAAATAGGGACAAACCCAGCAATTGGGCTTGAGTCAGAGACCAGCGGTGGAGGAGCTGGAGAGCCGGAACATCCTCAAACGTGAGTATGGCACCTGTCAGATCAGAGATTACGCGTCTGGGATGCTGGAGTGAGCCTTTTTTCCCCCCTGTGGAAACAATGTTTATTACCTGCCTGTTGACAAATAACATAACCATTTTGCTTGAAATTCATATATACTACACTCTAAAAAATGCTGGGTTAAATACAACCCAGTGCTGGGTAAAATAGGGACAAACCCAGCAATTGGGTTGTTTTGACCCAGCGGTTGGGTTACTACCCAGAAGGTTGGGTTAAACATTTAACCCAACCGCTGGGTCAAAATAGCCCAATTGCTGGGTTTGTCCCTATTTACCCAGCACTTGGTTGTATTTAACCCAGCATTTTTTTAGAGTGAATTTCCCAAAATATATTTTCTGAACAAAATGTATTGTTACATGCCAACATCCAAACATCTCAATCCTTTTTCTATTTATGTTTTGACCCAGCGGTTGGGTTAAATGTTTAACCCAACCTTCTGGGTAGTATCCCAACCGCTGGGTCAAAACAGCCCAATTGCTGGCTTCTTCCCTATTTTACCCAGCACTGGGTTGTATTTAACCCAGCATTTTTTAGAGTGTACTGTAGCCTATTAAAACAAATCATGCACTGCATGTGTTAATGCCTAAATTAACTGGTTTTGTTCACAAAACTGTTATTTCATGTGACTAAATCATCTTGACCGGATTAGGATATATCCCAAAAGACATTTATAAGAGTTAGATCAGATAGAAACAGATCGGTCACAACTGTGTCACCACTTATTTATATTTTATGCTGTGACTGGTTTGACACTATATTTATTCACCGTTTGTCACCAGACACAATTATTTTAAAGTACAAATAAAAGTATTAGGTTATAAAGTTTTCATAACTAGATCAGGTTGCAATTATATTTGCATACAACATGAGCACGCAATGCGTTATTGGAGTATGTTTTACATGAAAATGCTATTTCAGTTTTTCTACTTCAAAATTTCACATCTAATGTGTCACTTGCTTTTCCTCTGTAACTGTTTGTGAGTCAATTTCTGAGTTAAAACTCTTTCAACACTAAATATTTTTCAATGTATTTCTAAGGTAAAAGTGATATTCTGTATTTCTTCTGTAACAGTCTCTATAATTCTGACAAAAGTCCTTTGAAATTTGATAAATAATTGAATTCAGGACAAAAACAAATCCACACTCTAAAAAATGCTGGGTTAAATACAACCCAGTGCTGGGTAAAATAGGGACAAACCCAGCAATTGGGTTGATTTGACCCAGCGGTTGGGTTACTACCCAGAAGGTTGGGGTAAACATTTAACCAAACCGCTGGGTCAAAACAGCCCAATTGCTGGGTTTGTCCCTATTTTACCCAGCACTGGGTTGTATTTAACCCAGCATTTTTTAGAGTGCACAAGCACACACACACACACACACACACAAATCTGAGGGAGGCGTGAATGTAATTTCAGCTCGTCTGGAATCGAGAGATTATAGAGGCAATCTGTCTGGAGCTCGACACAATAATATCAGTGATTACAGATTGTGAGGGCGAGACAGAGATTACACAGACATGACCACAATCTGAGTGAAACTGAGTGTAATTTTAATGTAATTTCATTTAATTGCTTTGTAATGGTGTAATTGTGGGGGGATGATTTTCACATTCTTAAAATAATAAGTAACATTTATAAGAAAAAAAAATGTTGTGATTAGGCTTTTCTTCATCAGTATTGTATTATTGTGTAGGATAGTGTATTTCTAGCATGTGTCCTCAGCACACTTGTGATGGGGCTTGTTTATTTAGTTGAGGCCTCTATCTTGGGCCGGCGGCACCTGTGTCTTCTGACTCTGAGCAGCTGTCTGCTGACTTTGGCTGATCTCTCGCACCTGTCCGCATGCACTCACTCTCCAAACACTGGGATCTGAGACAAGATGTTAGTCAAAGCAAGGACGAGCAACAAGGAGAGAGTCCTGAAGTGACAGGAATATTAAATGCGCTTTCAGAAGTGGTTTATCGTAGTTCAATCATACTAGATAGACACGTGCGTCCCGTGTTTTCCCACGCTAAATCCTTCGCAGCACAGATTCAGATAATCCACGTATTTGACAGAGGGAAATGTAAGAGAACAATGTTATCCTGTGCTTTGAAAGGGTAAAGCCTATTAAAGAAATGCTGTAATCTGGCGCTCTGGCATTATGAGCTGGATTGGACAGCAGATGTTCAAGAGATCTGATTTTAGCACATGGAGCCAAGCCATGAGAAGTTTTAAGAAATCATTAGAATATTGGTTTATTGTTAATTTAAAAAAAAATCAACATACGTATTGAATACATTGACTTTTGACGTAAGAGGAAAGGAATAGCTTAAAGAAACGTCTTGCTAGATCAGGGCTGTACAGTGCAACATATATGTCGCACGTGCTACAAAAAAACTGGTCTGTGCGATGAATAAATTTACCACTGTAGCACGGGTGCGATACAATTTTGCATGTTCATAACACAGCCGCTTAATAGTGTGAAGTGATTTCGTTGTGCTTGTTTGTGTGTGTGAGATTGATTATACTTGGTAGTTAGGGGTGTATTATAACAGACGTTTTATACTTGTGCTACAACTTTTTGGCCTGTGCTACAAAATTTTCAACCTCTGTAGCACCAGTGCTATGTGAAAAAAAAGTTAACGTACAGCCCTGTAGATATTCCAGCAGTAGTACATGAGTGCTGTGGAGTGTAAGCGAGCCCTTCATGTAGTGTGCTGCATTAAAAACTTCAAAGTTAATCTGTACCTCTGCGAACTGCGTGCGTGCTTTTTCTCATCTGTGATTTTTTTTTTTTTGGTGGATTTGCAGAGAGGAATGACCAGACAGAGCAAGAGGAGAGAAGGGAAATTAAGCAAAGGCTAAACAGAAAGGTATGTGGATCCTGACAAAAAACACCTCACTGATCGAGACACATATACAGTATACACACATATATTTGTTGTCATGTGTCTGCTTAGCCTGCAGTATTCACTCTGTCATCTGAGGAAGACACTAGTACTGCTGTAATACCAGGCATTCACTCAAAAGCCAACTTTCTATGCCAAAAAGAATGACTGTTTTAAAACAAAGATTACAATGCTTAAGAGAAAAAAATCACAAATTCCTCCTCTCTGTATATATCGCATATTATGCTTAAGTTAATGGCACATCATTGATTGATGTTTTATTAAAGCAGTAAGTCAAGAGTGTTGACGTAAAGCCACTTAAATGTGGTCAAATCATTGTAACACACAAACCTGAGTGGATTACTGCAGCAACAGAAACAACAGACACCAACAGTCAATAAATAATAGCATTTATTAATAATAACACGGACGACCTGAATCATTTTAACTGGATTTAACTGGATCATGGGACTATCAATAGCCTTTGTGTTTTATCGGCATTACAACAGCTTGAAACACAGCTCATCCTATACAGAATTTAACTAGGAACAATCTGTTTGCTGTTTGACTAAACCTCTCTCTTATTCTTGTCTTTCCAGCTCAACCAGCGGCCCACCGTTGACGAGCTGCGGGACAGAAAGATTCTGATCCGTTTCAGTGACTATGTGGAAGTGGCCAAAGCTCAGGATTACGACAGGAGAGCAGACAAGCCCTGGACGAGACTATCTGCTGCAGATAAGGTGTGTGTGCATTAGAAACTCACACGCGGCCCCTACAGGCCAACACACACTGATGCGTTTGATATAAGACATGTCATAATTCTAGGTTTTGTTGATCTACAATAACTTGAGTATTATATAACACATTAATAGAATGATAAAGAAATAAAAATGTATATATTTGATCAAATCTAGGACCAGATGGTCTGCGAAGTTCACATTTCATGTGCCTATTTTTGGAAATATTTGTGGAATCTACAGAAAGGATGTATATTATTTATATATTTATACGTTGTATTAAACAGTTCCAGACCGTATTTTCATATTAGACAAAATATGGACTGTTCAAGCATTTTTTTTCAGCAAGGATGCATAAAATTAATCAAAAGTGACATTAAAGACATGTTACAAAAGATGCTGTTCTTTTGAACTTTCTATTCATCTGTGAATCCTGAAAAATCAAATGTATCAGTTTCCGCAAAAAAATTCAGCAGCACAACTGTTTCCAACATTGTTAATAATGTAGAAATGTTTCTCGAGCAGCAAATCAGCATATTATTATGATTTCTGAAGATCATGTGACACTGAAGACTGGAGTAAAGATGCTGAAAATTCAGCTGCGCATCACAGAAATAAATTACAGTTTAACAGATATTCACATAGAAAGAAGCAATTTTAAATTGTAATAATATTTCACAATATTACTGTATTTTTGATCAAATAACTGCAGCCTAGTGAGCAAAAAAGACTTCTTCCTAAAATATTTTAAAATCGGACCCCAAAGTTTTCTATAGTAAATAAACACAAACGGTCCAGAGGATGTGTAAAACTGGATGATACGCATTAGCATTCTGTGTGAGCCTCGTCATGAGCAGCTTGTGTTAAGTCAACAAAACCGGAACAGATCATTAATAAAACATCAGGTGGAAAGCAGGTGATCTTCTTTCCAGTGACCTGCTGCATGAGTGTCTGTTGTCCAGTGACTGTTGTCAGGACCTCATTCTTGTTTTTTTCGCCTCGCAGGCGGCGATACGAAAAGAGCTGAATGAGTTCAAGAGCAACGAAATGGAGGTTCATGCATCAAGCAAACACCTGACAAGGTCAGTGTGTGTTTCCATTTTTTCTTCGTGTATTTATACATGGCCTGATTCTACATATTGTTCCGTGTTTGCATAACTGTTCACCACAAAAACGTCATCGCATCTACGATAGATGACTTCTCGCAGGACACAAGAAGTACAGTAGATCAAAATGGGAGGTTGTTCTAAATATAGCCATATCTCCACTGTCCTCAAAGTGCAGAATTTGCAGAATAAGCACACCTAAGCGCTTGCCCACATGCATGACAAATGCTTGCTCACGTTTAGCTTACGTTTGTTTTACGTTAGACCTCATTTCTGTGGGCACAATAGCTGAACAAGGTCCCAGTCCTGTGCTGCGCAGAGCTCTGTCTGGAACATACACACACCGCTCTTCTATTAATACACATTTGATGGATGATAGTTGGCTTTTTGGGTGTCTTACAGGTGTCTCCTCGCTTTGCATTGCAGGTTCCACCGACCATAGCAAGGTTTCTTCCGTGAAGAATATGCTAACGGTATCTCTAAGACCTCAGGAGGCTGTCCATGGCTGCTCCATGGAGGGCCTGATATTTGGGCGCTAGTGAACCTTGGAGGCTATGTCTCTGGAGCTTCAGCCTGAAGAAGCTAAAACCCTCCAAACTCCACTCAGTCCAGCTACAAGTCTGTAGATTATTGAACCTTTATTCTTTTTCAGGGGACTCTAATGGGACGGTGGAAGACTGTTTGAGAAAAAAAAAGACATTGACTTTTTCGTTTTTTTGTAATGGACTGTTTTAACCGGTCGCCTTTTGATGCCAATGGGGGGCGGGTGGGGGGCTGGGGCTCAAGCATGTGACTCTTTCGAACTCTTTTTCCCACACCAGTGTTGGTGCTGTAGTGACACCCCGAAAGTTTCTGGGCTCCTACTAAAACTTGAGTTTCATATCAGCTGTATAGATGTTAGTATGAGGAACGGAAATCGTGTCTTACCTTTGCAAGGACAATTTATTGTCTGTACAGTACAAGCTTTGGATTTTTAACAAACGACAATGTCTCGTCTTCTTTTCTGAATGAATGGATGGAAGCATGGATGGATGATGAATCGATTTAGCCGAAACATGTGCTCATGCTTGTGCCTGTACTCTCATGCACCAATCTCTTATGCTCATTTGTCTAATCGATCTCTTGTCTTGTGTTCAAGAGAACGCCAGATTCAATTTCTTTCATGCCTTTTATCAGTAGCAAACCTAAGCCACGGATAATAGTCTTACAGAAGCTTTCAGGAAGTTTCATTGTCCTTGAAGAAAACACGAGAAGTCATTATTTCCATTCACACACACACACACACACACACACACATCACAGATCTGTGAGGAGGGACGATCTGGCATTAGTTTAACATTCATTCCTGAAGTGCTCATTTTCCTTTGTGAATAAACACAGATTAAATGTTTGGCCGCTTGAATGTAAGGTTATATTTGAAGAAGTCACAGCTTTTCCATCATGACATAGTAGCTGTGGGTTAGCAGAAAGCAGGACAGTGGTGTCAGTTGATGGAGAGAAGGCACTTTACAGCACCCCGACACGATTTCCCTTTGAGGTTAATGAAAATGAAGACGTGAAGATCAAAAACAAGAGTCTGTTGTATGCGTGTTTCATGTTTTTTTTCTTTTTAACAAACTCCTGCTGAACAGTTAATACTTTTCAACGTGTGAGTACAAAAAAATTCTTCTTGTGAGACTGTAGTTGTCAGTAAGGGCTATATATTCAATATATGTTTAATATATGCACAGACGAAGTAGGCTAATCAAATGAGTCTGCATGGTGTCCCACACAATTGATGAAATCAGGCTGGGTCACAAAGAGCATTTCTGATTCTGATAAAAAAAAAGGAGAAGATGATGAGACAGGCAGCTCCTTTAAACTTTTTTCTTTTCTTTTTTTTTGTTGGGGCTGGAACAGAGACGGGTGTGTTTCTCACGACACCTCGTTCACTGATAATAGGAACATTCTGTGCATGCTTTTCCAAAACACCTTTAATGACTAATAGAAAATGATTCACTTTTCAGGAGCTGAGGGTTTTCTCCTTCTAATTGAGCTTTTTAGCGTTATGTTAGACAATTCAAAAGGAGAACATGACTGCTCGAAAATGCCATGAAGTGCATAGTAACATTTCCAGCATGGCATTCATCGCTCCCTGTGGTGACACGCAAACACTATTTAGTGCAATTTTCCTTTGCAATGTGAAATGTGTAATTTTACACAGTGGCAATTTCAAGACCTTAAGACTTACCACTCCCAAAAATTCATTCTCTATAGTTCATATTGAGACATCTTGAAATGCATGCTTATACATCACGTTATTACTATTGTGTACTGTTTAAGCAGGCCGCTCCACTGCAGCAGAAACCAACCAATGCACAGATTCTGTACTGGTTTTATAACATTTGTTTAACAGACAGTGTATAAATGACAAAGCTACCTTTGTGTCAGATCAGCATTGGTTATGTAAGAGCATCAGATGTGTTTTCACACATTATTTTATGTATTCTCAGTAGAGTTGTGGTTGCATCAGCTCCACAGTTCTGTCAGCAGAACAGTATACGTTCAGCAGCAGGAATGGTGCGAGAAGTGGCTGACATTTGTGAAAACACAACGAGCTTGGAGATAATGTCAAAACCACAAACTGTAAATTTAGAATATGAGATTAGGTTTTCTGAACAAGACACTAAATATAACAAGATCTGCATCTAATCTCCTCTTTTATATGGCTATTGCGCTTACAATCTAGTTATTTACATGACACCCCTCCTGATTAATATTAATGAAGGCATTTAAAGCTCATGCATAAGAGATTAGCTCCTTAACTGGGTCAGTCTCCTTTCATCGTAAGAAATGGATGCCTGAGCCACTAAAACACCCGGTTAATATTTCTCTGTAAGGCCACGGAAACGCAAACAGAGCTGATGATCCTGCATGCAGATCCAATCATTAAATGTCTTTGTACTCAAACTCCAGGAAGGAGGAAATCATCAGAAAACACACAAATCTATCATGTAGTGTCTCGATTCATTTATGTTTGTTTGAAACAAGACGACACAAGGCAAAGAAAATCACTAAATTGAGGGCTTTTCTCCCTCATCTTGTATGAAATCCTTGTCAGAAAGTCTTCAACAGGGTATAAACAAGCCAAGATTACGTTATCACACACACATCAGCTGAAAAATACTGCCATAGTCTGTCATACAGTTATTTTAAAGGAAACTGCCCATAGTATGCACTGACTGTGAGCTCTTTTGGTCCCTCTTAATAAATACATTATATATATATACTGTATGTATACATGTATATATGTTTGCACACACACACGTCTGGTCAGCTATCCTTGTGGGGACTCTCCATAGGCGTAATGGTTTTTCTACTGTACAGACCGTATATTCTATTGCCCTACACCAACCCTACCCCTAAACCTACCCCTCACAGGAAACGTTCTGCATTTTTAGATTTTCAAAAAACTTAATTCTGTATGATTTATAAGCTTTTGTACCCGTGGGGACCACAATTTAGGTCCCCACCGTGACACGAGTCCCCATGAGTCTGTGTGTATTCAGGTTTAAGTCCCCACCAGGATATATAAACCTGTACACACACACACACGTGTACACATACACACACACACACACTTGTTCTATCTGAGGAACCCTAAATCATTGAATTTTTTATAGTGAGTATTTCAGATTGTGGACATCAGTCTGTCTTGATTGTCCCCTTTTCCACCCCCTAATCAAATGTGGAAGAATTGAAGTTACAAATTTCCTCCTCAAGATTCACAGCACCATCTAGTGTTTTGTCACAGTACTATTTAAAATCAGAGATGCTTTCTTTTACTATCAACAGCCCAGTTCAGAATAATCTATTGTTATACAATTATAGAAAGAAATAAAGAAAGTCATAACAAATTAGAAATTTCACAAACATGTCATCAAAAAAGATGACAGGAGCTCCAGCTATAATGGCAATGCTCTGCATACTTTTGTTTAGTTATTGATAGTAAATGCAGTCAGGCTGAATAATCTACATCAAACAGAGCATTTCAGATATGCACTGCAACTGTCAGGCTGTGTGTCAAAGGTGAAGTGTGCTTAGAGTCGTTTTGCTTTTGGCTTAACGATGATGATATTTTTAGACCTGACCTCAAATTTCTATCATGTGCCCTTACAGCTGTCCTGAGTCAGAAGCACATTGATTGCCTTCCTCAGATGCCATTAGCAGGAGGTCGGCCTGGAGAAACCTCTGTCGGGTAAGATCAAGAGCGCTAATGCAAGGGAATAAGAAAAATATCACTCATATTTATTCTCCTGTAAATATGCAGACATCAAGAGCACAAATAAGCTTGTTTTGCTTTATTTGTTGAGTAACATGCAAGAACAACTTAATTGAAAATAAATGATTTGGTTTAATGCAAGAAAGTTGCTAAGTCAGCTTGTGCATTAGGAAGCTACGTTATCACTTGTCTAATTCCACACTGCACAACCTGGAAAAGACGTTAACAAGGCACAACTGGAACAATGTGCAAAACCTCACTGAAACATTCTAAAAGTTTCCTAGCATGTTCTGTACAAGCGATGCAAGAAAATCAATCACAAAATTAGAGAGCGCCTTATGCACAAGACAAGACTGCACTGCTGTTGTCATGACACTGTGAATGATTAAAATAGCACTATAACGTGCAATATCCTTTCAGCTTTGAGTTTTTAAGGAACTGAAAGAATGTGCATGAAGCCTGTTCTATTTTTGCACAGACACTTAAAGATGAAAGTCTCCTTCAGCAATAATAATACTGAACCGGTCAAGTATTGCAAGCTAATTGTTCCTGGGTGGTAGCCAGTCCTGAAATAAAATCCATTAGTATGACATATTAAAATACTTGTGCAAAAGTTGGGCTCTATGCTTGGTTGGGATAAAGGCTTTTTATATGTACAATGCTGTGAAAATGTAGGGCTCAAAAAAGAAAAATTAAGGTTTTGGAGTGGCCTAGTCCTGACTTGAACTCAATTCAGATGCTGTGGCAGGACCTTAAACAGACAGTGAAAACCCTACAATGGGGCCAAACTGTGTGGAGGGCCAAAATACTACCATAGCGCTGTGAAAGACTGATCTCCAGTAATCTGAAGCATTTGGTCACAGTTAATGCTGGTAAAGGTGGCACAACCAGATTTGACATTAAATGGGACAATTTGTTTTTCACATGGGTGATAGGTGTTGGATAGCTTTTTTGCTCCATTAAAAATAAATAAATAAAAGCTGTATTTACTCAGGTTGCCTTACTCATGTTTAGTATGAAATACACACAGATAAACAGAAGAAATCAGGCTGAGGGCAAACACTTTTTCACAGCACTGTATATGGCATCTCTAGTGAAGAGTCAAATGAAATGCACCAGGCTATCTTCACACTCTCTGGGGACCGTCAATTTGTACGTCTGGCAGGTCAGTTTATAATTAGACCCACCATTGTTGTCCCAGTACTCAAATCCTCTGACCCGGTAGCAGATGGCGAACTGTAGCATGGCACCTGGCTGCATGATGAAAGGTGGGACAGGCAGGTGAAAACGAAACATGTCGGACTCTGGATCGGGCCGATCTCTGTGAACGGTGGAGATCCAGCTCGCTTTACTCTCCGCGCTGCACTTCCAGTCGGTAAACGAGTATCGTACCGTAACCTTTTTCTCATAGGCCAAGTTCAGCACTTGCACAGTTCCGATAATTCCCAGCTCAGAGCAAAACACCTGCTCCAGGCAAACTCGCTGCTGGCACAAGCGCTTGAGGAAACCAGCCTCGGCACACATGTTGTCAGGGAAGGATGGCTGGAAGTAGGGTAGAGAGAGCTCCAGCTTCTTCTTGGAGGCCAGCTCAGAGCTTGCCAGCAGTCTTGTGATGACGTGGACCGGCACCAATGGGTCCTCGCTGGCCTTGAAGAACTTCACATCTTCCAGTTCCAACCCTAACGAATCTACAAAGCGGACCTGCACGTTCCTGCAGGTGTGCTCTTCTGTGGAGGACGAGAGGGATTTAGCCCGTCTCCTCATGATGGGTTTTGGCTCGGCCTCACACGACTGCCTACGCCAGACGACGGGCTCCTGAGCAGGACCTGGTTTTGGGCTGGGTGGCCGTATTGCCACAGGGGTCCTTTGTTGGGGTGGTTTGGGATTGTAGATGTCCCGAAGATGAAAGGTCTTGACGGGTCTAGATACTTCACTAAAGCCACTTGTGAACTGCAAGGCAGGTCCTGATCCATGCGGATGTGATTCCATTCTCTCTGTGCTGTCTGTTAGCAAAAATTGCGAACACACTAAGTAATTTCACTCAAGTCACACTTGAAAATATGTGAGTGTATTCGCAACTAGCATCTTTTTGCTCTTTTGCCAAAGACATTTTTACAAACTATGGACCACTAATATCTGACAACCATAAAGTGTCACTAAATTTGGAACCGTTTTATCATTTCCAACCTAACAAACCTCCTCATTTGTGAAATGACACATGTTGTCAGGGAAGGATGGCTGGAAGTAGGGTAGAGAGAGCTCCAGCTTCTTCTTGGAGGCCAGCTCAGAGCTTGCCAGCAGTCTTGTGATGACGTGGACCGGCACCAATGGGTCCTCGCTGGCCTTGAAGAACTTCACATCTTCCAGTTCCAACCCTAACGAATCTACAAAGCGGACCTGCACGTTCCTGCAGGTGTGCTCTTCTGTGGAGGACGAGAGGGATTTAGCCCGTCTCCTCATGATGGGTTTTGGCTCGGCCTCACACGACTGCCTACGCCAGACGACGGGCTCCTGAGGAGGACCTGGTTTTGGGCTGGGTGGCCGTATTGCCACAGGGGTCCTTTGTTGGGGTGGTTTGGGATTGTAGATGTCCCGAAGATGAAAGGTCTTGACGGGTCTAGATACTTCACTAAAGCCACTTGTGAACTGCAAGGCAGGTCCTGATCCATGCGGATGTGATTCCATTCTCTCTGTGCTGTCTGTTAGCAAAAATTGCGAACACACTAAGTAATTTCACTCAAGTCACACTTGAAAATATGTGAGTGTATTCGCAACTAGCATCTTTTTTCCCTTTTGCCAAAGACATTTTTACAAACTATGGACCACTAATATCTGACAACCATAAAGTGTCACTAAATTTGGAACCGTTTTATCATTTCCAACCTAACAAACCTGCTCATTTGTGAAATGATTTGCTTTGTTAACGAAAAGACATTCTGACTTTTTGAAATGTTCCATGAAGTGTGCACTAGCCTATTCATTTCTTCATTACTTTATTCAGTATGTTCCACTTATACTAACGCTTAAAACATAAATGACGGACATGTCCGCTGCTGGTAACATTTTGGTCCGATGTATGAGACACTAACATTAATATTGACCCTGACCCATTTCTAGCCATGTTTGGGGTTTCTCTTAGATTTGACGGCCCTAGATCGTAAAGTTATTGGTTTTACTACAATCTTGGCCAGACAGGCTATTCTACTCAAGTGGAAGCCTAGCCTACTTCCCCTCCAACTCACGACAGGTGGATACAGGACATTTTCTATTGTGTTAGGCTTGAGAAATTGAGCTCTGGTTCACTTAAATCCTTTTAGAAGACTTGTGATCCCTTCTTAAAGGTTTACCTTGTTCACCTCCAACTGGTAACGATCCATAACTTTCAACTATTTGTCTTCAGAAGGAATTTAAGTTTATTAGAATTGTTATTTTATTCAATTCTCAATTCAATTCTATTATTTTATTTCAATATCTTATAATTTATAAGAATTATTATTTCATTCAATTACTCATTTATTTATATTTTATTGTGTTTTTCTTTCTTTGTTATTATTATTTTTTTGTGTTTTTTTCTTCTTCAAATTTGAGTTATGTTGAGAGGTTATTTGGTTGGAAGGTTTGTAAAAGAGATTAATATGGACAGTTTCCTGTGGTTTACTGCTTTTTTTAATGATGTATCCTTCTGCACTGTCATTGAAAATGCAAATAAAATTATTTTCAAAAACTTTCAATGACTCAAAGACTAACAACATAGTTGTTTTATCACTAACAACATATTTAACCAGCATGTAAACCTTTTAAATTGGACCTTGAACTTGCTGAATGCAACTTAAGGGGCCGTTAACACAGAGTCCTCATTTGTGAAATTATTTGCTTTGTTAACGAATAGACATTCTGACTTTTTGAAATGTTCCATGAAGTGTGCACTAGCCTATTAATTTCTTCATTACTTTATTCAGCATGTTCCACTTATACTAACGCTTAAAACATAAATGACGGACATGTCCGCTGCTGGTAACCTTTTGGTCCGATGTATGAGACACTAACATTAATATTGACCCTGACCCATTTCTAGCCATGTTTGGGGTTTCTCTTAGATTTGACGGCCCTAGATTGTAAAGTTATTGGTTTTACTACAATCTTGGCCAGACAGGCTATTCTACTCAAGTGGAAGCCTAGCCTACTTCCCCTCCAACTCACGGCAGGTGGATACAGGACATTTTCTATTGTGTTAGGCTTGAGAAATTGAGATGTTCACTCTCTGATTCACTTAAATCCTTTTAGAAGACTTGGGATCCCTTCTTAAAGGTTGACCTTGTTCACCTCCAACTGGAAACGATCCATAACTTTCAACTATTTGTCTTCAGAAGGAATTTAAGTTTATTATTATTTTATTCAATTACTCATTTATTTATTTATTTATATTTTATTCTCTTTTTCTTTCTTTGTTATTATTATTTTTTGTGTGTTTTTTTCTTCTTCAAATTTGAGCTATGTTGAGGGGTTATTCGGTTGGGAGGTTTGTAAAAGAGATTAATATGGACAGTTTCCTGTGGTTTACTGCTTTTTTTAATGATGTATCCTTCTGCACTGTCATTGAAAATGCTAATAAAAAGATTTGAAATAATAATAAAACATAAATGACAAAAGAAAACAAAACGCGTAACATCTTGATAGCTACATATAAATAGTAAGCATTTGATTGACAGTTCTCTTAACACGAAACTCAAGCGATACATTCAGCATAAAGCTGTTCAGTTTTACGTCTACATCTGGCAACAGATTCTTACCTTGCTGTAAATTGTGAGGAAGAACGCTCTCGTTATGTGCAGTTAAAACTAATATACAAACAAAATATTCATTTTAAAGTGGAGAAGACCTCTTCACCCAGTGTGGTTGTAATAAAATACGCGGAGATCGAGCGCCTATGACATTTAACTACTAATCCCATGTCTGAACTACCACACCAACGATTATTATTAGGCCCCCGTACATGAGATAAGCCATTCTCACGTCCTGTCTGTAAACAATGCATAGCGCTCAGTCAATCTCGATGCGCGAGCATTTGTGAATAAACGCCGCGACAATCTAACGCTCTCATGTTCTTAAATAGCGCGCTTCAGGTTAACTGCATTTGTGTGTCGCGTCGCTGGCTTACAGTGCACATGGGGTCTCAGACATATTACAGTATCGTGTAGGCTACACTGTGAGCCTATGACACTGTTGACTACATTTCCCAAACAACAATGCGCCCTTCAGCATCCACACAGCTGGAAAACACGCCTGCGTAAATATCCTCATTTACGCTCCACACAATTAAGCCCATATCGATTAGTGTACTGCACGAGACAGAATCGAACAGACCGCCTAATTTGACCGATGCATCTCATTACAGACAGGCTGCTCCGGTCGTCGCTGAATTATTTAGGACTGAACGGTACATATGCACCGAGGATTAAAGCGAGCAGTGCGCGAGACAGTCGACTGATCGTGGGTGTAAACCTCACATGATCAAGAAAAAATGGATATGCCTTCGGATCAAAAGACTCCGTGCATGCAATAGGAGAGAAGCCATCCGTTCTAGGAGACCCAGGCTGCTTTGAGGAATGCCAGAGATGGGAACGGTCTTACAGGAGCGCACTGTGCATTATAGTCAGAATAAGCGTCGTTCGTTTGATAGAACAACAACTAAAGCATCGGTACATGCACCAAGGTAAGAATAAACAACCGTAATTAAATTAAGATCATGTTTTATTTACCTAGCCAGCCAGGTCATCCATTTATGACGAAGGAGCTTGGATAGGCTTCTTTAAAATTGGAACCAAATTTAGCTGCTTTTATTTCTGAACTGATCTTGACTAACCTGACTTTTTCACTGAAAGCAAGAAAACCACAAAGGCACCTTTGCATCCACCACCGAATAATGGCATCAGCCTGTCATCTGAACCTGTGAGTACTCAACAGCAATGGTTTATGTGTGTACGTTATTAAAAAAAAATGGAATAGACTAATTAAATGAAATAGATTTTGAATAGAAAGAATCCACCCATTCTAGGAGACCCAGGCTGCTTTGAGGAATGCCAGAGATGGGAACGGTCTTACAGGAGCGCACTGTGCATTATAGTCAGAATAAGCGTCGTTCGTTTGATAGAACAACAACTAAAGCATTGGGACATGCACCAAGGTAAGAATAAACAACCGTAATTAAATTAAGATCATTATTTACCTAGCCAGCCAGGTCATCCATTTATGACGAAGGAGCTTGGATAGGCTTCTTTAAAATTGGAACCAAATTTAGCTGCTTTTTATTTTATTCAATTACTCATTTATTTATTTATTTATATTTTATTCTCTTTTTCTTTCTTTGTTATTATTATTTTTTGTGTGTTTTTTTCTTCTTCAAATTTGAGCTATGTTGAGGGGTTATTCGGTTGGGAGGTTTGTAAAAGAGATTAATATGGACAGTTTCCTGTGGTTTACTGCTTTTTTTATGATGTATCCTTCTGCACTGTCATTGAAAATGCTAATAAAAAGATTTGAAATAATAATAAAACATAAATGACAAAAGAAAACAAAACGCGTAACATCTTGATAGCTACATATAAATAGTAAGCATTTGATTGACAGTTCTCTTAACACGAAACTCAAGCGATACATTCAGCATAAGGCTGTTCAGTTTTACGTCTACATCTGGATAGGCTTCTTTAAAATTGGAACCAAATTTAGCTGCTTTTATTTCTGAACTGATCTTGACTAACCTGACTTTTTCACTGAAAGCAAGAAAACCACAAAGGCACCTTTGCATCCACCACCGAATAATGGCATCAGCCTGTCATCTGAACCTGTGAGTACTCAACAGCAATGGTTTATGTGTGTACGTTATTAAAAAAAAATGGAATAGACTAATTAAATGAAATAGATTTTGAATAGAAAGTATCATAAATTGAGCATATGATGGTAGGTGTAAGTGCTGTTTTCCTCATGTCTGCAGGACTCTCAGCAAAGGTTAAGAAGGACAAGACTGGACAAAATGTTGATCATGGCGAACCCCACAGACAGGTTAGAAAAGAATTTGGCACATAGATGATTAATTGAGATAAGGGTTAACACTCATTTATTTATTACAGTGTTTAAGTTATGCATATTGCATTTTACTATAGCCTAATTATAATAATAGGAGAAGCAGCTACAAATAAATAAATAATAAATAAATAATGGCACACCACGTACATGATTATTTTTGTCAATATGTGGCAACATAAAGTGTGACCAGATATTGTAAAAATTTCAAAGACGTTTAAAACCCTTTCCTTTGGTTCCTCGAGGCAACACAACGCTAAGATCAAATCTCACGCAACTTCCACAAATGGACAGAAGGAGAGGCAGCAAAGACAAAACAGCCATGGTGCAAAAGAGAGTGGTGGCAGGGGTAAAAGTTCAAGTGTAAGGCCTGTATACCCTCATCCTGTACAAGCTCAGAGAGAAGACTCGTCAGAGTGCAGACCCAAAGACGAGAGCTGTACGCTGCAAAGTAAAGATGGAGAAGAGGACAGTGCCAGTGACCTCTCGGACTCTGAAAGGTATTCTGCGCTTCCCGCTCAAATCTCTCCTCCTGACCTCAACCTACGTGCAGAGGTCATAGATCCGTCTGACTTTCATGCCTCGAGACCTTCTTGTCGAGGGCACAACAAGTTCAGAGGCAGCTATCCAGATTTCTTACCGCCTCCTTTCAATGCTTGGAGTCTCCTGCAGTTAGCTGTGTACTTGAACACAGAAGGCAAGGGCATTCCTCGTCCCAAGCCCACTGGGCAGCTTGAGAGATACTTGGACCGGCTATTGCAATTGGAATGGCATCAGATCCAAGCCGTCCAAGAAGACAGCAGCAAAACCAACGCCCCATTACCTAAAGGTCGCAATTTGCCTCATTCGACTTCTCATCGCAGCCTCAGCTCTCCTAAATGCATCCTCCAGTGCCAGCGTGCGTTCCCTTTGACGTTACTGTCCTCTTTTGCCAGTGCTCCCACCCTTCAGCTTTCAAGCTGTACCTGCCCACATTGCCAGAATCAGTATCCCATCTTGAATGGCACATGCCGCTCTTTTGCCTACCACCACCACACAAGGTTGAGTCCACTCCTGGAGAAGAAGGGCCAGGTCTCAGGTTTGCCTAAAAGGAGCAGCAGTGAGAGCAGGGCTCATCAGCTGGAACCCAGACACCGATCTCGAGAGCACAGACTCAGCGACCCTTTGAGCGAGAGCAGCCACTTGAGGCGCATGCAGGCTATCGGTAACATTCGCAATCCGGTTGGTTCCACATACAGTGTTGACCAAGTTTCTTCTACAGCTACAACAGCCAGCAATGCCAGTATTGGTGATGTCAAAAAGAGAAGGCCAGGGCAAAGAAGTCATTCCTGTGTGGGTATGAGGGAGGTAGGCTATAGGGCACGAGGACGCAGTGAACAAAGGAAGACCTTTGATAAAACACAACAGGACCCAAAATTAGCTTGTGCTGTAAGTTCAGATGGGTTACATAGCTCAAAAGACTCTGTAACTAGTCGACTGACCCGGAGGCAAAAGCATGTTGAATTTGTCACAAAGTAACTTCAATACAGTGGCCTGGAAAATGTATGAATTTCATTGCGTTAGATAAGGAAATATCAAACCAAGTGGTATATTTTCTGAGAAATTTATTGCAGTGACGTTTAGACCACTGATCCCAGTGCTATTAAAGTGAATGTATGAAGAACAGTGTTGGGGAAAGTTCATTTTAAAAGTAATGCATTACAATATCGTGTTACTCCTTAAAAAAGTAACTAATTGTGTTACTTTCTTATGAAAAGTAAAACATTATGTTAATTTTTGCGTTACGTTTTCTTATCTGGGCTGGGCTTGCTTGTTTGTTTTTAATTAAAAAAAAGTTCTATTTTTGGCAAATGTAAAAGCCCTTTCATGTCAGAAGTGAAGTGAATAAGCCTCAGAATGAAGGAAATGTCAATTTACGTCTGTACAGTAGAGGGACGCCGCTCAAACCTTTCAGTTGTGCTGCTATTCTGGATTGCATGAAGAACAGGACGCAGGAACAGAAAGTTAAAACACTCTTCAGTAAAAAAAAAAAGAACGAAAGAAAGACACAAATGTTATGTTTATCTAAAGTCATTTTTGCTTATTAGTATGGTTGAATTGGATCATCGGAACATAAATGATATCTGTGTTATTTCACATATTTAATTATTGCAGGATTGCATTTCACTCTTTTATTGATTTTGAGGAATGCTGAATCTGTTTTTGTGTAAGTGAGATGAGTAAATGCATGTTCTCATTTACTCTAGATCTACAGTAACATCATGTTCACGCAGCGCTCACAACTCCTGATTCAACAAGCGGACAGGAGAGCAGTCAGTCAATACATGGGAAAACAAAGCACCTGGCCTTACTTATTTGAAAAAGTCACTCAGATATCTTCTTGTAAATGAAAAAGTAATGTGTTACTTTAATAGTTACTTGAAAAAATGAATCTGAGTATGTCGCTCATGTTACTTATAACTTCTCCCCAACACTGGTCAGTTCATTACAGTAACGTGATGTTACACTAACTTTCAACAAACGGGAAGTTTCACAATACTTATCTTCATTATCAACACATGTTGACATTTTCAACACAATTGATTATTTAAAACCTAACAAACTATTATAAGATGTACAGTGGGTACGGAAAGTATTCAGACCCCCTTAAATTTTTCACTCTTTGTTATATTGCAGCCATTTGCTAAAATCATTTAAGTTAATTTTTTTTCCTCATTAATGTACACACAGCACCCCATATTGACAGAAAAACACAGAATTGTTGACATTTTTGCAAATTTATTAAAAAAGAAAAACTGAAAAATGCTCAGTATTTAGTAGAAGCACCCTTTTGATCTAATACAGCCATGACCCTTTTGGGAAAGATGCAACAAGTTTTTCACACATGGATTTGGGGATCCTCTGCCATTCCCTCTTGCAGATCCACTCCAGTTCTGTCAGGTTGGATGGTAAACGTTGGTGGACAGCCATTTTTAGGTCTCTCCAGAGATGCTCAATTGAGTTTAAGTCAGGGCTCTGGCTGGGCCATTCAAGAACAGTCACAGAGTTGTTGTGAAGCCACTCCTTCGTTATTTTAGCTGTGTGCTTAGGGTCATTGTCTTGTTGGAAGGTAAACCTTAGTTCCAGTCTGAGGTCCTGAGCACTCTGGAGAAGGTTTTCGTCCAGGATATCCCTGTACTTGGCCGCATTCATCTTTCCCTCGATTGCAACCAGTCGTCCTGTCCCTGCAGCTGAAAAACACCCCCACAGCATGATGCTGCCACCACCATGCTTCACTGTTGGGACTGTATTGGACAGGTGATGAGCTGTGTGTACGTTAATGAGGAAAAAAAATTAACTTAAATGATTTTAGCAAATGGCTGCAATATAACAAAGAGTGAAAAATTTAAGGGGGTCTGAATACTTTCCGTACCCACTGTAAATGCCACTTGGCAGGGCTCTAGACTCATTTTTTATCACTGGTCGCACTGGTGCAACTTTCTCAAATGGTTGCACCAGCGCATGATTTGGTTGCACTTTTTTTATCTATCTATCTATCTATCTATCTATCTATCTGCGTGCGAAAAATCTACGCAATGCGCAAACAACGTGTAAACAACATGTAATCTACAATGCACAAGCGACGCATATTTGAAGTGTTGTTTACATGTTAAAAGTCGCACATTTTTTATCTTCCTTGCTTTCCATATTAGTGCGCGCGGTTCAGGTGCACATGAGCGTACGGTGCGCGCGGCAAAAATGACGAGGAAATGATAAGGCACAGCATGTGGTGTATGCTTTATGTTTTTGGTAATAAATGTTATACATGCTAGTTGTTGTGCTTTTCATTAAAACTTATAATGAATCCATCTTTCAAGCATTCGTTTTAGTCTAAGAGAGTGAAAGGTGTATAGATGTAAACACAACAGGCCATTATCTTTTCTTGTAAAACATGACTCCAACATCGCAAAAGCGTCCAAGTAGTGCCTTTTCCCAGATAGCACACATAGGTCTGCAAGTTGTCTGCTAAAGATTGCTTCGTCTGGAAAGCGTCTGCTGTGTTCAAACATCTGACAGACGTCTGTAAGATGTCAGTTTTACATACATTCTAAATCATAAACATCTTAAAGACATTTTCTTTACATCTATTTGACAACTGATAGGAAATGTCCTATAGACGTATTGGATATGAGCAAACACTCTAAAAATAATGCAGACGTCAAATAGACATCTCCGTGATGAATATGTGCTATCAGGGATCTTTTGTTTTCCTCACTCGGTTCCTCCCTGTGCTCTCGTCATCAGTTGTGTCTGAGTCTGTATGCTGGCTCGTTGGCTCATTCTTTCCACCATCATCCTTGCCCTCCACACTTTGTATTTTAAAGTAATCCCCTATCGACCTTTACATTTTTAGATGGCTTAAAGAGTTAGTTCACCCAAAAATGAAAATTAGCCGACAAATTACTCACCCTCAAGGCATCCTAGGTGTATATGACTTTCTTCTTTCAGACGAATCCAGTTGGAGTTATATTAAAAATGGTCTTTGATCTCTCAAGCTGTTTAATGGCACTCAGCGGGTGTTGCATGCATCAGTACAAAAGAAGTTAAATAAAAAGCGCCCATCCATAAAGAAAAAAAGTGTCTCACACGGCTCCGGGGGGTGAACAAAGGCCTTCTGGAGCGAATCGATGCGTCCTAAACTTCCTGAATTCCAAATTTGCACATCATCATCCGTGTGCCATGCGTGTGTACGTGACTGATAATTCATGTGCAGATAGGCAGACACCGATTGAGTGGGTGACCAAAGCCACTGGAAGGCAAGCCTGCAACCTTTAGCCAAAAAAGTGTAACAGCTAATGCTATCGCTTCCGCTTTGTCGGTATGCAGGGAAGGAGACCAGGGGCCGTTTTGTTTGAATGGATGTCAATGGAGGAGAGGCTTCACTACGCTGAATAAACAGATTTTGTGAGGAAACAGCTTATAATTTAATGAATCGACAGCCTATCAGCTAATCTCCAACATGTTTTACACCAATAATTTTTAGCGCTTACACCGAAAAAAAAAAAAAGTGCCGTTTTATGAGAGGTCACTGACTTTCATTGATTCTCATTGCTTCCTATGGTATCCGTAAACGGCGATTGAGTGTCGCACATCTCTTGACTGAAGTTGAATGATGTAATGTGTAATGTGATTGGTTATCAAGGCACATGTGATCCAAGTTGACCGTTACGCTTTCTCCAATAGTAAGTAATGCAGACCCTGGTATCTCCCAATAATAAGACCGTCTCTGGCGTGACGATGCACTCGCACAAATGTGATCATGTCAAATTTTAACTTGCACATTCTCAAAAATGGATTTGGTCGCAGTCTAGAGCCCTGCTTGGTGTAATTGTTTATATATATATATATATTTGTTTTTTTTTTGTTTTTTTTGTTTTTTTTCTAGGGTAACCCTAATCTAATGCAGTGACATTCGTTTCAGTGTGGTTTAAGAGTCCAAATATTCTTTGGATCATTGTATGTACATATTCTTCTTCAGTTCAGCACTTCTAACCATACAAAATCGTTTTTGTTATGCCTGCATTATTTTAAGACTTAAGTTTAAGTTGTCTTCTAGTAAGACTTTATGCATGCTATACTCTATTTAAATTCTTATTTTAGTAATTGTTTTAAACAATTTGCTCTTTTATTACTCCATTGAATTAAATAGCAATATATACATTAATTTCTTAAAAGCAACAGGTTGGTGACTGCACTTTTATCAATTAAGTCCCTTTTAATAGGGACTTCTAATGTTTAGTTTAAAACAGGCAGTTGTTATTTCTGCAATACTTGTTAATTTATATGTAAGCAGTTCTTGCATAGATGTTTCAGGTACAGAAATGTATTTAATAATAAACTGATGTTTCACTGTTATCATTGGTTAATCACTCACACTAGAGCAAATCACTGGAGTTTACAGTTACAAATGATATGCTCAAGATGAAACTCCATATGTCTGCACACCATTACCCTTAACCTGACTGTCCCAATGAGCACAAGAAATCATCTTACATTGTATAACTTATTATTTTTCTCATTCTGTGCCTGATTCATAAGGTGAATGTGATGACCATAAATAAAATATGTTTTTAAAGCTCTTTACAATCCTCTTGACAAAGGAAGAGTTACTAGGACATGTTTATAATAGCATATCCAAAATAATTCCAGATGTTTGAAGGACAGATTCATTTCTTACGAACACTAGCTGCTGTCAGAGTGTTGAAAAAAAAATACATGCCTGTAAGTAATTTTTTTTATGAATCAAGAAATCACATTCAGACAAGAGTCAAATTATTCCCTTTCTGTTTCAATTCAGAAATATTCATAATTGTTTTACTGGTTAAATTTTAAAGACATAAACAGCGTACTTCTCAAACAATTGCTGTGACAGCATGCCCCGCTATAGTTATAATACTAAATGTTTGATTTTAGAGTAATTAGGCTATCAAAATATGCTGACAAGATGTGCCTTCGAGTCCCAAACTTTTCAGTCATATGGAAAATATATCAAGTAGACAAAAAGACATTTTATTTGTCAGTTTATAAAAAAATATAAACTAATATATCTATAAAAAATGAAGCTGGGTGCCAATTCGTATCTGTCAGCCTGTAAATAATTGTATCTGAACGTATTTTCTGCTCTGCGGCTCAGACACTGAGATTTTATCCACAATAAAATCTCAGTTTATGAATCTTCACTCGAGCACGGAGGGAACACCCTGTGATTATCGTTAGGGACCCGCAGCTGCAATCGTTGTACTGTTAGTACGTGCGAACATTACGTTTTACATTTATAAAAGACAAGTAGAAAATTTCATTTGATCATTTATGAATAATGTCAGTATTTATGAATTAGGACTAGGAGTATATGACTATGAAAACATACGACATCACTGTCATATATTAATTAATTCATTGGTATAGCTTAATTTTAAGCTTAAAATTAATGATTCAATGTTAAAAAAAAAAATTATTTATTAAGATTAACCAAGATCAATCCCAATATTATTTATGTTCTGCAGATAAATAAATTAATACAGATTTGTAATAGCATGAGAATAAATGATGACACTATTTGTTTATTTATTTATAAACAGTGAATAAATAGTTATAAATAATAAATAAATAGTTAGCAACCGCCCAATCACCTATGCCATCGATACAGTCAATTGTGCAATTAAAATTAACCCATACTTTTGATAATTTAATATCTGTAACTTTAATACTTGTAAGTGTTTTTCTAATGAGCCATTCTCAGTTTTTTATAAAGGTATCTTTAAATATAACGACGGGATACTTTAGGTCGTGTAACTCTCATGTAAGGTGGGAACTGAAATGGCAGCAGCAGTGGCATAAAGAAACAAAGCTGAGGCATTTATATTCTATACAAAACAGAGTGGGTGCATCAAGAAATAATGGTATGAGTAGGAAAGAACAAGTCATTTAAAGCAGAATGGGGCATAGCAACCTTAAAGGGGTCATATGATGCGATTTCAATTTTTCCTTTCTAACCGCATACGCACTGCAGACGGAGTATGTGTGAAACAGGCGTAAATCAGTATAATCCATAATTATGTCCCCACTGGATGCAACGAATGTCTCATTTCATCACACCAAATACACCAAATACTGCTCTTTTTAGCAGCATCATATGACCCCTTTAATGGCACTCTTCATATTATGGGAAAGCACGCAACAGGAATGTGCACCCAGTGTCAGGAGTATGAGACGGTTGAGCATGTTCTAATATCTTGTGGGAAGTTTAATCAAGAAAGACGAGAAACGATGACCCAGTTACAGAGATTGGGACGAGTAGAGGGAAATGTTAAATGTAGCCTATTTTAGAATGTGCAGAGAAACAAAAAGGCAGGAAATATTTATTAGGTTTTTTAAAAGAAACTGGACTGGACAAGAGAATGTAGTGTAAAGGGAATTTAGTACAGTAGGTGGCAGTAATGCAACTAATCGGATGCCAGCTGCCGTAAAACCTCAAAGGAGAAGGTGGGAACTGTTATGTGGCCGCTGGCAGGCGGAACTGAACTAGAACAGAACTTGTTCCCCTGATCAGTCGGGCATGTTTTTCCAGCGCACAGTAAACAGACTCCAGCATGGACGAGGGAGCGCAGCGAATACTGGAGCATTTGACGGAGGTAGAAGTGGCTGCAGAAGACGTTCTTAGTGACAAACAGCAGGTGAATGATAAAATGATAAAGCAGGTGTGAATGATAAAAGTTGTAAATTGTAGTCAAACGTACAATGAGACATTTCGCTTAAATAGTGTTTATATTCGTTTAAATATCGTCAGATCGTGGATCTGGATTTGCGGAGAAACAGAAACCGAGAAGCACTCAGCGCTTTACGAAACAATTCCCCGAACGGCAAGTACAAACACTGTGTTTCAGTTATTTTAATATGTGCAGTGTCAGAGACCTCATGATTAATGTGCGATTTCTTTTATGTTGTGCTTCATTGTTGTCATTCCTGCCATTTCGCACGCTTTTCAGTTCTCGGATGCACTGCACCTTCTCGATTTTTATTGTGCTTTGTTTTATTAGTGGCATTTGGTTCTGTGGTGCGTTAAAGCTGGTTTTATGTTGGACATTTGATATTTTCTACAGCATTAATTTATATGTAATCGCATAATAGTCATGGATCATGCTGAAAATAAATTGTATTAAGAACTGTATTAATAAACCCTCATCTATAAGGAATCTGATCCCTAATGTTATTTTTTTCCAAACTAGGAGGTTTAAGTTTCTTATGAATGTGTAATTATATCCCTATCAAATGATCCCTTTTTCATAGGCAAATGTTATTAGCTTGGTCCCTCATTTTTAAACACAATTTTACATCTTAATCTCATATAATCTGGAATAATAAGAATCGACTGTATACTGTAAACGCATCTCTTTTCGTTGATAATTGGTTTAAAAATTGTATTATTGTTTAAAAGCGTAATAATAACAAAATGAATAAAAATATTATTCGATGGTGTAATTGTTTTAAGCATCTGAACTGAAGAGTACCCACAACGATCCCCACTTGGGCAAAAGCCACAATAAACGGTTAAATATGTGCATTAAAAACACTAAAACCGTGATCCTTTTACATGTGTAGTTTTTGTTAGCAAATAGATTAAGTATAGATTTAGACAATTTTTAACTTCTGTATGATTAATATATCTGTTATAAAAAATTTAAGAAAGCTGAATGTCCTGATGAAATAAATCTATTTAAATTTGATTTGATTTGAGCTCTTTCGATAAAACAACCACAATGTATTTATACATACATGCAGCATATAATACACAACTTAGATAAAAAAAAAAAACACATATATATATATATATATAAATATATATATAGTATACAGGTGCATCTCAATAAATTAGAATGTCGCGGAAAAGTTCATTTATTTCAGTAATTCAACTCAAATTGTGAAACTCGTGTATTAAATAA